AGTATTTGATCTTACTTCGTCCTGAAATGGGGCAAAATGTCCATCAGCATAAGTTAGAATACCGAAAGACCCAGTTTGTCTGAGACGACTGAATGCCGTTGAAAATGTTTCCTTTACTGGTAGTCTGCGATGAGGAAATCTTACTGCATATTCACGTCAAGCCGCCGTGGCATTTCCATCACAAAAACCATATACAAAAACCATATCAGCATATTCATTGTTCGAAAATATGGACGGCATTATTAAACTTATTTTTATTATTAGTTTGAACGCTTTATCTAATGGATAATTTATGCAACAATTCGCAAAATAACATTTAAAACGTCAAATTAACATTGCTTGACAGCAGCCTACTCGAAAATTTTTGTTGAGGTTCATTTTAAAGTTTATCGACAGAATCCAGAAGCACCCTTCCGAAAAATCAATTTTGCCATGAAACTATAAGAGTTAGGAAAAAAGTGAATGTACACTTTTTGTCAATAACAAACTGTTCTATCTAAAAACAGCATCATTTTTTATTTTCAGTAGGGTCGTATTATTTTTTTCTATAATTTAATGAGTCTGAGTCCCCATAACTCCGTCACTGGTTGCTTGCGGGACTTCTACTTCTATGGAAAAATGGTATCTTATAAGAAGATGTGTCATGCCAAATTTGGCTTAAATAGCCTTCTTCATTTAGAAGTTATTTAAAAAATTCGAATTTTTTTAAAAATCTTTAACGCCCTATATTTCGAAAATGAAGCGTCTCTGGAAAATAATTTATACTTGATTTTTTTTTCTTATTTTTTTTATGAGGAATACCTCCTTAAAGTTTGTCGACTTAATCCTGAAACACCCTGTATATAAACTAAATTATTAGACGGGGATGCAGCCAAGGATAAAAAAGTTACACTCTGCTAAATTTTCAAGCTTTCGAAACTATATTTTGTTTCTTCGTCAGGAAAAAACTACAATAGGATACAAGTTAAAGTTATCTTATAAAATTAGTCAATTAAAAATTACTTACTATGCAGAAATTACATATGAAGTTAGCGAACATGATAGACCACCTACCGCGGACGTAGGTCATTATTCCAAATAAAAAAAAATGAGTTGAGTAATTTTTTTAATATTTCTAATACTCTTTTGTGATATTTTTATTTGTAAATGACTTAATTCGAACTCCAGACAAACTTTTGCTGATTTCTCAAAAAATTTAACTAAAGAAAGTTGTTAGATTGCATATTAAAAAAAAATAAATATGCTCTTCTAGTTTGGGGATGCGGTAACTTTTACCAAGAATTTCTTTCTTTTTGAGAAGCCACTGAAAAAAGTTTCTAATATGGATTACGAACTTTGCCATTCATCGTACAAATAAAAATGTCACAAAACAATATCAGAAGCATTTTAAAAAACCTACACATAATTTTATATTGTTCAAATACGCTTCTGAAATGGAAATTTTCTAATGTTGAGACCATCGTGAATACGGTAACAATGACGAACTGATAATTAGAAAAAGTTTGTTATAATTATGAATCTTGAAATGAAACATGAAAAACAAATAACATTACTGAAAAATAATATAAAGTTACAATTTCTTCTACGCATGGTCAATATTACATCTATCCTTTTAATAATAAATTATACAGCAGAAATAAGGATACAAAATGATATCTTGACAAAATAAATACCTGTAGGTATACCTAAACACATGAACAAATATAAACATTTGTACAAAATATAAATAAATGACGTCTATTTCACTTGATTCATCCATATTTCAAATAGATCTCACTGACTAAGTGGTTGCTCTTCAAATTATATCGAAACTTAGGTAAATGTGACGCAAAATTGGAAATCTCTTTATACATATCGTTTTAAACATCAATAGGTATTCATTATTTTATATGCACCTTACAATAACCACAACTGCGCACACTACAAATTATCACATAAAATAGCGTCAAAGTAAAGATGGAGAACAACGAACGAAGCCAGGCAAACTGGCAAACCGCCAACCTAACCTAACATAATACGAATTGAAAACGACACACCGGAAACAAATAAACTCGGGCTGTTACGCGCAGTCTACACAAGTCACAAACATACATTTTTTCTAGATTTGTATTATAAATATGCTACCACATGTACAATTTTATTTTCTGTTTGTGTCTGTATAACAAAGGCAAATGAACTAACGCTTGAGAGGGATTGGGGATTGAAAGCAAAATTTAACTAATACCGAATGTTCCATAAGATAAGCAAAAAAAGCAAAGAGTTGTTCGTCTGTTAGGTTTCCGAGATCGAAAGGGAATGTTTCGAGTAATGTTTCAAACTCTCTTCAATTGGAACATTTCGGCTATGTTTAACTAAAGAAGTTTTCAAGTGCTACATTTCTGTAATGAAACAGAAACGTTTCTAGTTAATGTGTCAAATGTTTAGTAAAACAGCTCATTCGCAACGTTTCATTTACGTTTCGTGTTTAGTGGGTTGGAACCATATGGAAAACTTTTTTATTATTGGTTTTATGAAAAAAAGTTATTCTTCATAAAAAGTTCTGCATGGTCTATCTCTATAATCTAAAATGCAGTCTTCAGTTATCAAAATGTCTCAGTCATATACGAGGTATATCTGAAATTATGAATTTTGCTCAAGAGTAAAGTACCTTTATTTTTGACAATTCAGAAGAATGTTATGAAGAAAAGTTATTTTGAATTAAAAGCTATTTTCAAATATGCAATTACAGCTATTTAGCATGAAGATTCAGGTTTTGTGATTATTTACGTTTTACATTATAAATTACTTGTATTTATCTCTCTTACCTGTTAAAAAATATGATAACCTTTCCATTTGTTAAAAATCCATACAAATAATATTTAGGTAGTAAACAAACATCATACATATTTATACAGAAACAAACATAATTTTGCATATTTGAAAATAACTTTTAATTCAAAATAACTTTTCTGTATAACATTCATCTGTATTGTCAAAAATAAAGGTACTTTACTCTTGAGCAAAATTCATAATTTCTGATATACCTCGTATATGACTGGGAAATTTTGATAACTGAAGGTTGCATTTTAGATTTTAGACCATGCAGAACTTTTTATGTAGAATAACTATTTTTCATAAAACCAATAATAAAAGAGTTTTCCATATGGTTCCAACTTAAGTAGACACAGTGTATACAGCGTGGTAAAAAAGTTCTGCATAAAATTCATATTTTCGTTAAACAATTTTTTTTTTCGAAAAACGTTGAGACCCGTCGATTTTTATTTGATCCAGGGCACCTTGTTATGTGAAAAAATTTTTTTTTTCGACAATTGGACTATTCGCTG